AAGCAATTGGTACCTGAGGTGTTGCTGGAAGGGGATTCCCTTCCAAACTATAAACAATCCACTCTCTCTCCTCCTCCAGTCTTCCATACACTAAGAAGAATCTCCAATAAAGGTAAGTGTTATGCTGTTAATGTTTCATTCATCATTTCCCATTGTATTGTTTATGTACTACATGTATATTTCATGTAAAAAATTTTTTTGTTTTAATACTTCCGAGTGTCAGAAATGGATTAATTGTATTTACATTATTTCTTATGGGGAAAATTGATTCGCAAATTGTAAATTTCGTTTATAGTAGCTCCTCCAGGAACGGATTAATTACGAAAAACGAGGGACCACTGTACACATATACAATCACAGGACACGTTTTTAGAAGTTCTGCAGCCTGTGGAAGTCTTTGAAACATGGTGTCATGCACAATGGTGTTTTACACTCCTCACACATAAAATGAGTGTCTCTGCGTTGTTGTGGGCGTTTTTTTGTATGTGCACAGACGTAACACCTCTTTGAGCCTTTTTCTTGAAAACAGTAGCAGGCAGTTTTGTTAGGAAGTTATCGCCAGACAAGAAGGTACAGTGGGACCTCAAATTTCGAACTTAATCCATTCCAGGAGTTAGTTCTAAATTAAAAAAAGTCTGAAATTCGAAGTAATATTTCCCATAAATAAAGGAAATACAATTAATCCGTTCCAGAAACCCAAAAAATTCACAAAAAAAATGCATTTTATAGAGATTAATTACAGTTTTACATACAACAAATGCTATAGTCTTTAATTATGTATAGTAATATAAAATAACATTTTTACTTACCTTTATTGAAGATTGGTGATGGCATCTGGAAGATAGGGAGGAGGAGAGAGGGAGTTGGGGTTATTGTTTGGAAGGAGAATCCCCCTCCATGAGGACTTTCGGTATCAAAGCCCTCTCTGGGGTTGCTTCCCTTCTCTGTATTTTAATGCCACTAGGACCAGCTTGAGTCATTGGACCCCAGTCTCACAAAATAACTGTCTACAGTCCTCTGTTTCTGTCTCACAAAATAACTGTCCACAATCGTCTGTTTGTCTCACAAAATAACTGTCCACAGTCATCTGTTTCTCACAAAATAACTGTCCACAATTGTCTGTCTCACAAAATAACTCCACAGTTGTCTGTTTCTGTCTCACAAAATAACTGTCCACAATCATCTGTTCGTAAAATGTGTGAATGAGATCGCAGGTTAGTGTTCACTCAAGCAAAAACAAAGCTAGACTGCTCACGGCACCTGCGCTGGACGCGGACAGAGCGGGCCAGCTGACAGGCCCTGTATCCGGCGGTCCGAAAATAGGGGCGTGTTCGATAATAGGGACACAGTTTGTCTGAAAAAATGGTCTTATTTTCGAAACGTTCAACATGTGATACGTTCAATTTTTGAGGTTCCACTGTAGTTACTGGTAATTACGTGGGCAGTTTTCTATTACAGGTGCTGTTCCTTAGTACTTGATTATTATTTGTCTGATGACAGACAAATAAAATTTGCCATATGGTGGTTTGTTTCTGGTCCTCATCTTATATATATTATAAGCATTGAGCATGGAAATGTCCAGAATATAGAAAAAGAGTTTTATGTACCACTTATAACTCTTGCGAACACAATCAGCAAACCCAATCTGCATGTCACATTTGCCCACTGAACACATATTGAGGGTGTAGTCAATCACAGCTGCAGGTTTTAGAATGGGTTCATTGCTTTTTCTATGCTGCCTGCCAGTGTCTACCATTTCATTAGGGTGAACTGATGACAACAGTGTGACATCTCGTTTGTCATGCCACCGAAATGCCATGATGTCTGTTGCAACCCCTGAATGGGTTGCAATGATTATTATGTATATATATATTTAATTATTACCTTTTCATATAATTTTATATTGCTTATATTTGCGATAATAGCTAAATCGTAAATGTATTGCTTTATATTGTTATTTGACTTAGCTTCCTTTGGTTAGGTAGGATGTAACATATGTGCTCAGTTCAAGTCTTTATTGTCTAACTACTGTAATTATCGCTTGTGGCTCGTTAGACTGCCAGCTTCTGTTTCTGAGCTGCAGCTGTCCACGGAGCTATCATGTGATCGAGGGGGGCTGTCCTCACCTCGCCTGAAGTATTCAGTCTGGTCTAGACTCTCTTGGTGGTTGGACGTATCCCTGACGAGAGCCTAAATCTCCCTTATTGCCCCTTGTTGGAGGATCGTCTCTGTAACTTTGTTAGTTCTGTAGAACTCTGTTCACAGAACATTGTATAGACTTGGTGATTTTTGACGTTGTGCTGAGGTTGTGTGTCACTTAGACATTCTGAGCAACTCAGGTCCTGAGCTGTAGCTTCTGACCTAACTTGTATTGGTATCTGTGTATTGTCACAGTCGGGGATTTTCTTATGCTGAACTTAGATTCAGTAGTATGGGAGTTTTGTGACTTTTGTGGAGGATCTGCTGATGGTCCCTACTTAGTGTCGTTTTATTATCTCCTTGTTCCTGATTCTGTGTCGCAGTTGCTTGTTATATTGCTATTGCGCTTAGCATTATTTTTGTTGTTCAAACAGACTGTTCTGATTGCCAGTTGGTCAAGAAGATAGTTTATTTGAGGACTTTGTCAGTCACTTGTTTAAGTCTAGTCGAGTCGTGAGACATAGCGAACTACTTAGAGTACTTACACACATACACACTTACTTGTACATATTTGTAATATCTTATTAAATGTTAATGTACCAGACGGTACTTAAGAATTATAAATGTGATATGTGCTTTCAGCACAATAATATTGTACTCGAGAGAAGTGATTAATATTATTTTGATTACTGTGATTATTATTAATTTAATTTAATTTGATATACACCTAGACAACTTAAATAATAAATTTATTAAATTTTAATTTCTCTAGTTAGTAGCCTACCAGTTGTAATCCTGAAGCACTATTGAATCATACTGAATTCTAATGGATAATTGGAAAAGGATACTGACTAATTGTTACGAAAACCCAGTAACAGGCTGGATGCTAGAAGGGCAGTCCTTTCTAGTATTCACTGGAGATCTCTAAGCTTTTAGAATAGCGTTTTTTGTAACAATGTCATTGGCAGCAGACGCCTGCACCTCACCTCTACGAGTGCCAGCGTCAAACCTGGGCATATGTTTACGATTTGCATGCACTGTACCACACAAACATCTGTCATGTTCACTCGCAAGAAGTCACTGAGTAAGGGGCTTGTGTACCAGTTATCAGTATACAATATATGTCCCTTACCAAGATATGGTTCCATCATTGTTCTAACCACATCTCTAGAGATACCCAGTAACTTCCTGGTATCTCGCAATGTATTACTTCCAGTGTACACAATTATGTCCAATACAAGACCACTGTAACAATCACAAAGCACAAACAACTTTATACCAAAGCGTTTCCTCTTGCTTGGTATGTATTGCTTGAATGAGTCTTCCTTTGAACAGAATCAAAGACTCATCAATAACAAGCTTCCTGAAGGGATAAAAATACATACTGAATTTCTGTTTCAGATACACAAACACATTCCTAATCTTGTATAACCTGTCATTTCTGTCAGGCCTGATTTTGTCTGAGAAGTGAAGCATACGTAATAGTAGCACAAATCAATTCACTCCTATTATATCACTGAAACCTGGGGTTGCAATCAGGCGGTCTGTTGACCAGTATGATTTCAAACTGTGCTTATACACATGTGGCATAAGCATTATTGTGGCAAACAAAAGATACATCTCAACCACAGTTGTCTCCTTCCACTGGTGTAGGCGTGAGTTTGGTGAAAGTATTGTGTTTTCCATGGTGTACTCGTAGTATCTGTTGCTTTCCCTGACAATAATTTCCATCAGGGGTTCGTCAAAGAATAACTCAAAACATTCCAGTTCGGTAGCATTGTTCCCAAGTACACAAGATGGCCGTATTCCATTTTGACTTTCATCAAAGTGATGGTTATTGGGAACAAAATTGTCAGCTTCCTGCCAATCCCAGGTGCGGTCTGCTGGTGGGTACTGGATATTGACAGGTGGTTGTGGTTGTGGAGGTTGTTGTTGTGGAGGTTGTGGTTGTGGAGGCTGGTGTGGTGGGTGGGTGGGGGGTGGTGGCCTTTGTTGTAGATCAGCTGAGGCAGTGGCGTGGGTGGCAGCGTGGCCCACTGCTGGTGCCTCACGGCCGGCACCACCACTACCACCACCATGCACATTTTCCATCCCAGTTGCAACACTATCATCTTCGTAGTATTTTCTGTATGAAAATACTATGTGCACTATACACCTAAACTATGATTGATAAAGCAACACTATAATGCATGTGAATATATTCATGATACTGTATTTACCATCTTCTAGCTTTAGCTTAAGAAAATGCCTGTGGTAACAAAATACATAATACAGTATGAATTTCATGTTAAAGGTAGTAGGTTGGTAGACAGCAACTGCCCAGGGAGGTACTACCGTCCTGCCAAGTGAGTGTAAAACAAAAGCCTGTAATTGTTTTACATGATGGTAGGATTGCTGGTGTCCTTTTTTCTGTCTCATGAACATGCAAGATTTCAGGTACATTTTGCTACTTCTACTTACACTTAGGTCACACTACACATACATGTACAAGCTTATATATACACACACCCCTCTGGGTTTTCTGCTATTTTCTTTCTAGTTCTTGTTCTTGTTTATTTCCTCTTATCTCCATGGGGAAGTGGAACAGAATTTTTCCTCCATAAGCCATGTGTGTTGTAAGAGGCAACTAAAATGCCGGGAGCAAGGGGGCTAGTAACCCCTTATCCCATATAAATTACTAAATTTAAAAAGAGAAACTTTCGTTTTTCTTTTTGGGCCACTTTGCCTCGGTGGGATACGGCCGGTTTGTTGAAAAAAAAAAATGTTTATTATACTAAAAAAAATTGTATGGTATATCAAAATGCAGAACATGAAAGCTAAGAGGCTATTCTGCAAAGTGTGTATTAATGTTTATTGAACAGTTTACAGTGTGGGATGTTGGTGGGCAACCCAAGTTGAGACCTCTCTGGCGACATTATTACTTCAACACACAAGCTGTCATATTTGTTGTAGATGCGACAGATGTTGACAGACTTCCTGAGGCGCAGTCAGAGCTCACTAAACTTATGACAGAACGTGAATTAAAGGATGCTTCGCTTCTTATCTTCGCTAATAAAGAGGTAAACTTTTTTATAATGTGGTTGTAGTAGCAAATACAATTAAATCAGCAGTTTATTATTATTTCTTGAAGTTTTACTGTAAATAACGAGAGATATTGAAAACTATGTTTCATCATTGATCTATACATCAAATATTTCTAATATTTTTCATGTAGACGTCTATCACAAGTTTTTTCTTTGAGTAATTTTGAAGCTTCAGAGGCCGGAACAGAAAGGATGATTTTTAAACCTTTGTTGACAATTTTGCATACCCTACTGTCTGCAGTGCATGTAATGCAACTACTCATTTCATTGTTGTCAGCTTTGGGGTTCTGTCCTCTTGCAACTGTGTTGATTCCACCAGTCTTACTCATGGTTGTACTCCAGTCTGCAAGGCTTCTAAAGATGCAATAATTGTTCAGTGTGTTTTGAGAAATTTCAGTTTTGTGGGGACATGTTTCTTCTTATTTCTGACTTCTCTTTCCACACACGGCTATGTTTACTCTGCCGTCCTCTCTGAAAGTGCCATCTGTCTACTGATTTGTTACATCAACTAACTATTTTTTTTTTTTCCAACAAGTCGGCCGTCTCCCACTGAGGCAGGGTGACCCAAAAAAGAAAGAAAATCCCCAAAAAGAAAATACTTTCATCATTATTCAACACTTTCACCACACTCGCACATTATTACTGTTTTTGCAGAGGTGCTCAGAATACAACAGTTTAGAAGCATACACATATAAAGATACACAACATATCCCTCCAAACTGCCAATATCCCAAACCCCTCCTTTAAAGTGCAGGCATTGTACTTCCCATTTCCAGGACTCAAGTCCGACTATATGAAAAAAAACCGGTTTCCTGAATCCCTTCACTAAATATTACCCTGCTCACACTCCAACAGATCGTCAGGTCCCAAGTACCATTCGTCTCCATTCACTCCTATCTAACACGCTCACGCATGCTTGCTGGAAGTCCAAGCCCCTTGCCCACAAAACCTCCTTTACCCCCTCTCTCCAACCCTTTCGAGGACGACCCCTACCCCTCCTTCCTTCCCCTATAGATTTAAATGCTTTCCATGTCATTCTACATTGATCCGTTCTCTCTAAATGACCAAACCACCTCAACAACCCCTCTTCTGCCCTCTGACTAATACTTTTATTAACTCCACACCTTCTCCTAATTTCCACACTCCAAATTTTCTGCATAATATTCACACCACACATTGCCCTTAAACAGGACATCTCCACTTCCTCCAACCGTCTCCTCGCTGCTGCATTTACCACCCAAGCATCACACCCATATAAGAGTGTTGGTACTACTATACTTTCATACATTCCCTTCTTTGCCTCCATAGATAATGTTTTTTGACTCCACATGTACCTCAACGCACCACTCGCCTTTTTTTCCCTCATCAATTCTATGATTAACCTCATCCTTCATAAATCCATCCGCCGACACGTCAACTCCCAAGTATCTGAAAACATTCACTTCTTCCATACTCTTCCTCCCCAATTTGATATCCAGTTTTTCTTTATCTAAATCATTTGACACCCTCATCACCTTACTCTTTTCTATGTTCACTTTCAACTTTCTACCTTTACACACATTCCCAAACTCATCCACTAACCTTTGCAATTTTTCTTTAGAATCTCCCATAAGCACAGTATCATCAGCAAAAAGTAACTGTGTCAATTCCCATTTTGAATTTGATTCCCCATAATTTAATCCCACCCCTCTCCCGAACACCCTAGCATTTACTTCCTTTACAACCCCATCTATAAATATATTAAACAACCATGGTGATATTACACATCCCTGTCGAAGACCTACTTTTACCAGGAAGTAGTCTCCCTCTCTTCTACACACCCTAACCTGAGCCTCACTATCCTCATAAAAACTCTTTACAGCATTTAATAACTTATCACCTATTCCATAAACTTTCAACATCTGCCACATTGCTCCTCTATCCACTCTATCATATGCCTTTTCTAAATCCATAAATGCAATAAAAACTTCCCTACCTTTATCTAAATACTGTTCACATACATGCTTCAATGTAAACACTTGATCTACACATCCCCTACCCACTCTGAAACCTCCTTGCTCATCCGCAATCCTACATTCTGTCTTACCTCTAATTCTTTCAGTTATAACCCTACCGTACACTTTTTCTGGTATACTCGGTAAACTTATTCCTCTATAATTTTTACAGTCTCTTTTGCTCTCCGCCAATCCCTAGGTACCTTCCCCTCTTTCATACATTTATTAAACAAAAGTACCAACCACTCCAACACTATATCCCCCCCTGCTTTTAACATTTCTGTACTTCTTCAGTCAAGTACAGAAAAGTTGATAGAAGCAGAAGATACTTGAAGACGATGTAATCAGTCCATCACCCTTAAAGTTTTGAGGTCGTGCAGTTCAATGTAGATAAATGCAAGGTTCTGAAGCTCGGGAGTGTCCATAACCCTAGCACTTATAAGTTAAATAATGTAGAACTTAGCCATACAGATTGCGAAAAGGACTTGGGGGTTATGGTAAGCAGCAACCTTAAACCAAGACAGCAATGCCTAAGCGTACGTAATAAGGCAAATAGATTACTGGGATTTATATCAAGAAGTGTAAGCAACAGAAGTCCAGGGGTCATACTGCAGCTTTATACATCATTAGTAAGGCCTCACCTAGATTATGCAGCTCAGTTCTGGTCTCCATATTACAGAATGGACATAAATTCGTTAGAAAACATTCAGCGTAGGATGACTAAATTAATACATAGCATTAGAAATCTTCCTTATGAAGAAAGATTGAAGACTCTTAAGTTACATTCACTTGTTAGACGAAGAATGAGGGGAGACCTGATCGAAGTGTATAAGTGGAAGATAGGTATTAATAAAGGGGATATTAACAAGGTCTTGAGGATATCTCTCCAAGAGAGAACCCGCAGTAATGGATTTAAATTAGATAAGTTTAGATTTAGAAAGGACATAGGAAAGTATTGGTTTGGAAATAGGGTAGTAGATGAGTGGAACAGTCTACCTAGTTGGGTTATTGAGGCTAGGACTTCGGGTAGTTTCAAATTTAGGTTGGATAAATACATGAGTGGGATGGGTTGGATTTGAGTGGGACTTGCACATCAGAGCTTATTTCTTGGGTAGCATTGAAAATTGGGTAGGTCAATGTTTGTTAGTGGGATGAATTGTAAAGGACCTGCCTAGTATGGGCCAACAGGCCTGCTGCAGTGTTCCTCCTTTCTTATGTTCTTATGTTCTTATGTTCCAGCTGCTTTACCCCCTTTCATTCTACGTAATGCCTCACATACCTCCCCCACACTTACATTCTGCTCTTCTTCACTCCTAAAAGATGGTATACCTCCCTGACCAGTGCATGAAATTACTGCCTCTTTCTTCCTTAACATATAAAAGTTCCTCAAAATATTCTCGCCATCTGCCTAATACCTCCATCTCCCCATCTACTAACTCCCCTACTCTGTTTTTAACTGACAAATCCATACTTTCCCTAGGCTTTCTTAACTTGTTTAACTCACTCCAAAAATTTTTCTTATTTTCATTAAAATTTCTTGACAGTGCCTCTCCCACTCTTTCATCTGCTCTCCTTTTGTACTCCCTCACCACTCTCTTCACCTTTCTTTTACTCTCCATATACTCTGCTCTTCTTATAACACTTCTGCTTTGTAAAAACCTCTCGTAAGCTACCTTTTTCTCTTTTATCACACCCTTTACTTCATCATTCCACCAATCACTCCTCTTTCCTCCTGCCCCCACCCTCCTATAACCACAAACTTCTGCCCCACATTCTAATACTGCATTTTTAAAACTATTCCAACCCTCTTCAACCCCCCCACTACTCATCTTTGCACTAGCCCACCTTTCTGCCAATAGTCGCTTATATCTCGCCCGAACTTCCTCCTCCTACCTTAGTTTATACACTTTCACCTCCCTCTTACTTGTTGTTGCCACCTTCCTCTTTTCCCATCTACCTCTTACTCTAACTGTAGCTACAACTAAATAATGATCCGATATATCAGTTGCCCCTCTATAAACATGTACATCCTGAAGCCTACCCATCAACCTTTTATCCACCAATACATAATCTAATAAACTACTTTCATTACGTGCTACATCATACCTTGTATATTTATTTATCCACTTTTTCATAAAATATGTATTACTTATTACCAAATCTCTTTCTACACATAGCTCAATTAAAGGCTCCCCATTTACATTTACCCCTGGCACCCCAAATTTACCTACTACTCCCTCCATAACATTTTTACCCACTTTAGCATTGAAATCCCCAACCACCATTACTCTCACACTTAATTCAAAACTCCCCACGCATTCACTCAACATTTCCCAAAATCTCTCTCTCTCCTCTACACTTCTCTCTTCTCCAGGTGCATACACGCTTATTATAGCCCACTTTTCACATCCAATCTTTATTTTACTCCACATAATCCTTGAATTAATACATTTATAGTCCCTATAGTGCTATTTTGTTATCTTAATATATTTTTCAAGGATAATCCACTGAGATGACCTAGTCAAGGGTGATGTCAGCTTCTTGTCATGGGTATGGCAAAAAAAAAAAGCAGCCATGTTGATGTTAACAGTCAAGGAATTGGATTTTAAGATGTAGGTATATGTTTGGGAAGTTGAGAAATAGGTATGTGCTGTGTACCCATGTACCTATATCACTAATTCTTTCAACGCACCAGCTGTGTCCCACTGAAGCAGGGTGGCCCAAAAAGAAAAAAAGTTTCTCTGTATAAATTTAGTAATGTATACAGAAGGGGTTACTAGCCCCTTGCTCCTGGCATTTTAGTTGCCTCTTACGACAAATTAAATTAGTCGATTAGCACAAGTTTGACCAAAGACAACTAATAAAGGTCTCCATTAGTACAGCAGTTGATGATAAAAAAAAATTGTAATTTTAAAGTAGGTACATGTTTTGTACTAGCATATCCAACATTTCCATCCCTGGAAGTGAACATATTGCTGCATTCTTGTACTACAGGTAACTTTTATTTTTTTGATTACCATTTGTGTCCAACATAGTATTCATATTTTTTTCCGGTGTGTATTTTCCTCACTGGTTTATGTCTGTTATACTGATATTAAACTTACTATTGTTAATGCTTCGAGAATCTGTTCTCTCATTAAATAGGGAAACATAAATACAGCCTCTCCTCACTGAATGACGGGGTTCCGTTCCTAAGAGTAGGCCAGTAAGCGAATTGGTTGACAAGTGAGGAGCATACTATACTGGTAGTGGGTCTGAGTTGACCAACTTCGGATATTTTTTTAATGTCATCTTTGCACCATTTATAACATTTCTAGTATATTTTTAAATGTTTACATAGTAGTGTAATGTATACTGTAATAAACAGAATAGAGGAAATCGGCTCTAATATACATTACTTAGATTTGCACACTGTCTGGAGAACTGGTCGTAAGTCCGAGTGGTCAGTAAACACAATGGTAAGTGAGGAGAAGCTGTAATACCTTTACTTTTAGGTAATGACAGGATTGATAGGAAATATATGAGGCAGGTAATATGATTCTCATAAAGAATGTGCTTTTGATATGCTGGTAAATAATAAATGTGCAACACTGTGAAGAAAGAAGTATAGTTGTACTATTAATTTATGGCATGCTTGTTTGAGAAACTTCATTCTCTTTTTAAATAAATGTAATATATTTCACTCTTTACTGGTTAGCCAGACTTGAATCCTGGAGGTGGGAAGTACAATGCCTGCACTTTAACCCTTTGACTGTTTTGGACGTATATATATGTCTTAACAGCCACCGTGTTTGACATAGGTATACTCATAAATTCTAGTGGCTTCAAATGAAGCCAGGAGAAAGCTGGTAGGCCCATATGTGAGAGAATGGGTCTGCGTGGTCAGGGTGCACCATATAAAAAAAATCCTGCAGCACGTAGTGCATAACGAGAAAAAAAAAATCGACTTTTTTTTTTTTTTATTAAAATGCCGGCTTTGTGGTCTATTTTCGTATAGTATTTATGGTTGTATTCTCGTTTTCTTGGTCTCATTTGATAGAATGAAAATCGTATTATAGAAATAGAGGTGATTTTGATTGGTTTTACTATGAAAAGAACCTGGAAATGGAGCTCAAATTAGGGGAAATGTTTGACTTTTGCAGATGTTCAAAAGTAAACAAATGATGTCATTTTTTAATAAATGTCCAAGTAGCCATTCTAATATGCAGTCATGAATGGGTTGACATTATTTATACAATTATTACAATATTGCAGTAGTCTGCATAACAGTAAATCTTCTATTTTTTGTTTGAATAAAAATTCAAAATAGAAAGCAAGAGTAATAGAGGGGCCTGGAGACGTGACTGATGAACAAAGAAAATGTTATTTTAGAGCCAGGAATGTCTGCATTGTTCATTCTGGACCCTATTATGAAATTGTCATATTTTTTAATTTTCGTGAAATTGGCCAAATTGCAAATTTCTGACCACGTTATTGGGTAGTTGAAATCAGTAAATGGGCAGTTTCTTGTACTCAGTCAATAGAAAAAATGGAGTTCTAAAGAAATAGCTATTAGTTTGGTCGACTGGAACAATGGAATTACCCAAAAATAGGGCTCAAAGTGGGTGAAATCACCAATTCGTAAATATCGCCGAGGTCGCTAACTTCGCGAGAATGTAATTCCATCAGTTTTCCATCCAATTTCCTTCTTTTGGTGTCATTACAATCAGGAAAAGATTCTCTGTCATTTCATAAGAAATTTTGCAACACCAGGAGACACCTCAGGATTTGGGGTTATGACGGTCAAGGGGTTAAAGGAGGGGTTTGGGATAGTTGCTGTTTATTGTGACATCTGAACTGATGTATCTGTGTACTTCTGCAAAGACAGTGATTATGTGAATGATGGTGAAAGTATTTTTTAATGTTTTTTGGATTATATAATACTTTTCATTAATTCTCAAGTAATTTTTCTTGGCAGAGCTGTGAGCAAGCATTGGGGATGGCAGCCTTGACTGACAGTCTGGGAGTTCACAAGCTGTGTCTTGGGCGGTCTTGGCACATCCAGCCCTGTGATGCCCAGTCTGGTACTGGATTACACCAGGGTCTTGACTGGCTAGCACGCCAGTTGGTACCATCAGAAGTTCTCAATTCTGCTACATGACCATATTTTCCCTAAAATATAAAATATTTAAATAAACACAATATAAAATTAATATATACCTATATATAGTGTGTGTGTGTGTGTGTGTGTGTGTGTGTGTGTGTGTACATGTGTATGTGTGTGTACTCACCTGATTGTGGTTGCAGGGGTCAAGTCATATCTCCTGGTCCCACTTCTTCACCAGTTGCTACTAGGTCACTCTCTCCCTGCTCTGTGAGCTTTTTCATACCTCTTCCTAAAACTGTATGTGGATTCTCTCTCCACTACACCACTTTCCAGACTATTCCACTTCCTGACAACTTTATGACTGAAAAAGTACTTCCTAACATCCCTGTAATTTATCCGAGTCTTTAACTTCCAATTGTGACTCCTTGTTGCTGTGTCCCATTTCTGGAACATTGTCTCTGTCCACCTTGTTGATTCATTTCAGTATTTTATATGTCATTATCATGTGTCCCCCATATCTCCTGCCCTCCAGTATTGTTAGGTCAATTTTTCTTAACCTCTCGTTGTAGGACATGCCCCTTATTATTATTATTATTATTATTATTATTATTATTATTATTATAATCAAAAAGAAGCGCTAAGCCACAAGGACTATACAGCGCTGCAGGACAGGAAGGAAGCGAGGGCATCAGGTGGCAAAAGGGAGATGGATGAGTAATAGGTTACGGAGAACAGCGGGGCAGTGGATGGTGAAAGGGTAAAGGGCAGCAAGAGATTGAGCTAGAAAGGGTTGAGGGGAGTGCGAAAAGTATCATCAGAGTTTGTGGAGTAAATCAGTCGTTGTCAAGAAGTCAATGAGAGAGTCAGGATTAAAGGAGGGTCCATCAGCAAGAAGGGAAGATAAAGAGAGAGTAGTAGAGCGGAGACGACGTTGGAGGTAAATTCTGAGTGCTCGTTGATAGATAGGGCAGTCTAACAGAATGTGGCTAATCGATACTGGAACTTGACACTGCTCACAGAGAGGAACAGGGTGCCTCTCCATGAGATACCCATGAGTAAGACGAGTGTGGCCAATGCGAAGGCGGGAGAGTGGTCTCCCAACCTCGGCACTGATGACAAGAAGACGGCCAGTAACCTATGTTCGGTTTAATAGAATGAAGTTTGTTACCGAGCAGAGTTGACCATCGTTGTTGCCAACAGATGTGAAGGTGGGTAGCTATTACAACAAAATAGTCCAGAAATGGAACACCTCTATATGAAATTGGTAGGTCATGTACTGCTGACCGCGCAGCAGTGTCTGCCTTTTCATTGCCCTGTACGTCGACATGACCAGGGACCCAACAAAAAACAATATCTTTATGCTTGGTAGAGATATGGCGTAGCCAAAGTTGGATACGGAGAACTAGGGGGTGAGGTGTATCAAATTTTCGTACAGCCTGTAGAGCACTAAGGGAATCTGAGACTACCACGAATGATGACACAGGCATAGATGCAATACGAATAAGTGCTGCAAGAATGGCATACAATTCAGCAGTAAAAAGGCTAGCCGAAGATAGTAAATGCCTCCGCACGGCGCTGTCCGGAAACACTGCTGCGAATCCGACGCCGTCTGAAGACTTAGAGCCATCTGTGTACACAGCGATGGCATGAGAATGAGAGTGGAAGTGATCAAGAAAAAGAGAGCGGGAAGCCACCATAGGCAGTTGGGCTTTCGAGCAAGGGAGTGAGAAAGAACAGACCCGAACAGCTGGAACTTCCCAGGGGGATAGGGAAAAGTGAGATGCTACATGAACATATAAAGGTGGTAACTGAAGGGAAGACAAGAGCGAATGTAGGCGAAGAGAAAAGGGACGGAGCAAACAGGGTCGGCGAACAAATAAAGAATGTCTACTAATATCGGTGACCATTCTATAAATGGAAGGGAGTTCACGGCTGTCGAAAGTTAATCGAGCCACATAGCAAGGGTAATGTCTCCGCCCGCGGGCAGGAAGGACATAAGTGTCTACTTTGAGGATTGGGAGATCCTGGAGTTCCAGCTGTTCAAGAATGTCATTGCCACATGACTGGAAATTCTGTTGGACGATGGTATGGGGTAGAATGACAGTACCACTACAGGAATTGAGAGAGAGAGATGTTTTTCAATAGTGATAGGAGTAGTATCGATATGCGAAAGGAGAAAAAGATCATGAGCTTGGGTAGCATTCTGGACAGTGACGATGCGCGTACTGCTCTTGAGAGCATGAAATGAAATATCTCTACCAACATGGCACAGGAGTGCTTTGCCAATACTATGGTCAGAAAGATAGGCAGAAGAAGTCGGTCTTAAAGTAAAGAATTTAGTCCATTGTGTGGTCCGAAACTGAGCGTGGAGAGGGAGTGCATGATGTGTCGGTCTTTTCCAAGTAGAATGGGAAGGTAATGAAGGAACATCATCAGGAGATTGTCGTTGGCGTTTAGGAGTAGGACCGGAGTTGGTCCATCGTGAAATGGGCTGGCGATTCGAAAATTGACGTACTGTAGGAGGAGAGGCCGGAAGCATAGTCAAAGGAGAGCGGAGGTCAGACAAATCGAAGGAGTCAGCCGAAGCCCCGGTACCTGAAGCAGGTGAGGAAACAGCACCAGCAAGAGGTACAGGGGCATCAGGGGTGTCCGAAGAGTGGTCAAAAAACAAGGTAGGGTCAGAATGGGGTGCGGTATCAAGAAGGGACCTGGGGGTAGTGGGTTCATGGATTGGGTTCTCCATGGTTAGGTTACTCCTTTGCATTTTGTTTTTAAGAAAAACAGAAAAGAAAATAAAAATAAAAGAATAAAAAAAAGGGGGGAGCGGGGAGGAATAGTTCCCAGGAGGAACGTAAGGGCCGGAAATCTCCCTCCTCGCCCAAGAGGACCTCAGCACCGCTAGTAGTGCAAATGCAGCATGGAACCCGTGCCATACCCTACCCTTCATGCCAGTAAACCAGCAATCCGGGATAGCAACCTCACATCTGCCGAGCTACCTCGGTGGACAAAAGAGAGGGTGGCCGGATATCCGCCACAAAGCATACCTCCTTCGGCCACCACCCCCGGAATCCGAAAGGTGGCTTCCAGAGATACACCCGTCACCCAAAAGACACCCAAAGCCACTCTCCGGGATACCGGAGAGAGATCGGGACTCCCCTGGCATTCCAGATTCCATGGCAAACTACGCCATCACCAAGAACCTCAAAGGAATGGGATGGACCCCGGTACCCTTTCCCCTACCTAGGAACTAGCGCGCCTGTGGGAAAAATCCCAAAGGCCAAAAAGAGGAAGGGCAAAAGGGAGGGGTGGGGAGGGGGAGGAGGAAAGGGAAAAGAGGAGGATGGAATAGGGAAAGGGGGATTGGGGGGTAATTAGCCTCTTCACCACGCCAAGGAGCCCCCCTTGAAGAGGACATGCCCCTTAGCTCCGGAACTAAATCTCATTGCGAACCTTTGCACTTCCTCTAATTTTCTGACGTGTTTGGCCAGGTGTGAGTTTAAAACTGGTGCTGCGTACTCCAATATGGGCCTGACGTTTATGGTATACAGAATTCTGAACGATTCCTTACTGAGATGTCGGAATACTATTATTAGGTTTGCTAGGTGCCCATATGCTGCAGCAGTTATTTGGCTGATGTGCTCGGTATTATATTCACCCCAAGATCCCTTTCCTTGAGTGAGGTTTGTAGTCTTTGGCCCCATAGACTGTACTCTCTGTGGTCTTCTTTGCTCTTCCCCAGGCACACTTCTGAATCTATTCCTTCCATCATGTAATTCACATATGCCAGAAACAGCACTGGTCCTAGGACTGACCTCCTGTGGAAACCCACTTGTCACAGGCGCCCACTCGGACACCTCATCATGTACCATGACTCTGATGCCTTCCCGTCATGTATTTCTTAATCCACTGCAGTGCCTTCCCTGTTATACCTGCCTGGTCCCCCAGCTTTTGCATTAACATCTTGAGTGGAACTGTATCAAAAGCTTTCTTACAGTCCAAGAAAATGCAATCTACCCACCCCTCTCTCTTTCTCTTGTCTTGCTGCTGTCACTTTGTCATAGCACTCCAGTAGGTCTGTGACACACAATTTCCTGTCCCTGATTTTGTGGTGGTTGTAATTGATAAGCTCATTCCTTTCTAGGTGTTCCACCACTCTTCTGATATTCTTCGCCATGACTTTGCATGTTATACATGTCATTGACATTGATCTGTAGTTTAATGGCTGCATGTCTGTCTCCTTTTTTAAAAACTGGGACTACATATGCTGTCTTCCATAGTAGCCCAGTTTCAGTAGTTGTGTTGAAGGTTGTTGTTAGTGGTACACAAAACGCCTCTGCTCCTTCTCTCTGGGCCCACGAAGAGATGTCCGGCCCAATTGCCTTTGAGGTATTTTTGAGGCTGTGTGTGTCTGTGTGTCTGTGTGTGTCTGTGTATGTCTGTGTGTCTGTCTGTCTGTCTGTCTGTCTGTCTGTACATGCACACAAGCAAGCATGTATGATGAGTCACCACAGTATATTTTGCATATAGATGTGAACACTTATGTCAGTCAACTATTCATCTTCAGGAGCAACTGACAGAAGAAAACAGTACATTTATATATATATATATATATATATATATATATATATATATATATATATATATATATATATATATATATATATATATATATATATATATATATATATATATATATATATAATTTATATTCAACAAGTCGGCCGTCTCCCACCGAGGCAGGGTGACCCAAAAAAGAAAGAAAATCCCGAAAAAGAAAATACTTTCGTCATCATTCAACACTTTCACCACACTCGCCATTATCACTGCTTTTGCAGAGGTGCTCAGAATACAACAGCTTAGAAGCATATACGTATAAAGATACACAACATATCCCTCCACACTGCCAATATCCCAAACCCCTCCTTTAAAGTGCAGGCATTGTACTTCCCATTTCCAGGACTCAAGTCCGACTATATGAAAATAACCGGTTTCCCTGAATCCCTTCACTAAATATTACCCTGCTCACACTCCAACAGATCGTCAGGTTCCAAGTATCATTCGTCTCCATTCACTCCTATCTAACACGCTTATGCACGCTTGCTGGAAGTCCAAGCCCCTTGCCCACAAAATCTCCTTTACCCCCTCTTTCCAACCCTTTCGAGGACGACCCCTACCCCCTCCTTCCTTCCCCTATAGATTTATATGCTTTCCATGTCATTCTACTTTGATCCATTCTCTCTAAATGACCAAACCACCTCAACAACCCCTCTTCTGCCCTCTGACTAATACTTTTATTAACTCCACACCTTCTCCTAATTTCCACACTCTGAATTTTCTGCATAATATTTACACCACACATTGCCCTTAGACAGGACATCTCCACTGCCTCCAACCGTCTCCTCGCTGCTGCATTTACCACCCAAGCTTCACATCCATATAAGAGTGTTGGTACTACTATACTTTCATACATTCCCTTCTTTGCCTCCATAGACAATGTTTTTGACTCCACATATACCTCGACGTACCACTCACCTTTTTTCCTTCATCAATTCTATGATTAACCTCATCCTTCATAAACCCATCCGCCGACACGTCAACTCCCAAGTATCTGAAAACATTCACTTCTTCCATACTCCTCCTTCCCAATTTGATATCCAATTTTTTTCTTTATCTAAATCATTTGATACCCTCATCACCTTACTCTTTTCTATGTTCACTTTCAACTTTCTACCTTTACACACATTCTCAAACTCATCCACTAACCTTCGCAATTTTTCTTTAGAATCTCACATAAGCACAGTATCATCAGCAAAAAGTAACTGTGTCAATTCCCATTTTGTATTTGATTCCCCATAATTTAATCCCACCCCTCTCCCGAACACCCTAGCATTTACTTCTTTTACAACCCCATCTATAAATATATTAAACAACCATGGTGACATTACACATCCCTGTCTAAGACCTACTTTTACTGGGAAGTAGTCTCCCTCTCTTCTACACACCCTAACCTGAGCTTCACTATCCTCATAAAAACTCTTTACAGCATTTAATAACTTATCACCTATTCCATATACAGTGGACCCCCGGTTAACGATATTTTTTCTCTCCAGAAGTATGTTCAGGTGCCAGTACTGACCGAATTTGTTCCCATAAGGAATATTGTGAAGTAGATTACTCCATTTCAGACCCCCAAACATACACGTACAAACGCACTTACATAAATACACTTGCATAATTGGTCGCATTCGGAGGTGATCGTTATGCGGGGGTCCACTGTACTTGCAACGTCTGCCACATTGCTCCCCTAGAGTGGATATATATATATATATATTATATAAATATATATATATATATATTATATATATATATATATATTATATATATATATATATATATTATATATATATATATATATATTATATATTATATATATTTTATATATATATTATAATATATTTAATATATATATATATATTATATATATATATATTATATATATATATATATATTATATTTAATATTTTTATAAACAAGTCGGCCGTCTCCCACCGAGGCAGGGTGACCCAAAAAAAAGAAAGAAAATCCCCAAAAAGAAAATACTTTCATCATCATTCAACACTTTCACCACACTGGCACATTATCACTGTTTTTGCAGAGGTGCTCAGAATACAATAGTCTAGAAGCATACACATATAAAGATACACAACATATCCCTCCAAACTGCCAATATCCCAAACCCCTCCTTTAAAGTGCAGGCATTGTACTTCCCATTTCCAGGACTCAAGTCCGACTATACGAAAATAACCGGTTTCCCTGAATCCCTTCACTAAATATTACCCTGCTCACACTCCAACAGATCGTCAGGTCCCAAGTACCATTCGTCTCCATTCACTCCTATCTAACCCGCTCACGCACGCTTGCTGGAAGTCCAAGCCCCTTACCCACAAAACCTCCTTTACCCCCTCTCTCCAACCCTTTCGAGGACGACCCCTACCCCGCCTTCCTTCCCCTATAGATTTATATGCTTTCCATGTCATTCTACTTTGATCCATTCTCTCTAAATGACCTTACTCTTTTCTATGTTCACTTTCAACTTTCTACCTTTACACACATTCCCAAACTCATCCACTAACCTTTGCAATTTTTCTTTAGAATCTCCCATAAGCACAGTATCATCAGCAAAAAGTAACTGTGTCAATTCCCATTTTGAATTTGATTCCCCATAATTTAATAATTTAATAATTTAATAATATATATATATATATATATATATATATATATATATATATATATATATTATAAACCATACCACGGGCGGGATTGAACCCGCAGTCAGAGAGTCTCAAAACTTATTTATTTATTTTGTGGCAGAAGAAAGAAACCGTAGTATTGGGTTAAAATTATATAAATACTCAAAATTATCCAGGAATATAATACCTTATTTTCTCGTATTATACTGTCAGTTCACTCAGTGGACTGGACTGTAATATTCTTGGTCTCATTAAAGAGGAGTCAATCTCACTCTGTCTCTCTGTGCATGCATACATGCCTGTGTTGCTTCTGTAGATGTGTTATTGATCATAAAAGTATTCAGTTGACCTACAGTGATCCCTGCATACCTTGTAGTCACTTGTTCTTGTGATGTAACAGTCTATATTGTTGCAGGTATCTGGTATGTGTACTGATGGAATGTATAGAAGATACCTGTGCAACAGTAGAACATATTATTAGTAAATGTTTTGCCAGTCCATTAAATTTTGTATAGACCAATTCAGTATAGAGTAGGGTATTTTCAAGAAGAGCAGTCAAGTTCAGTGAGCGTTTAATGTTCAAGCTAGTGGTTGTAAATGGTATTTATGATGAATTCTTTTAAGATAACTAAACAAATCTTGTCGCTTTCACCAGTTCCTTGCAATGTTAAATGACCCTTTTGGGTTTAGTGCTTTCCAGGATTATAATCCTACCAAGGCTTGGCATGTCCATTGAGTTATGCTCATATATTACTTTTGTCATGAAGTAAGTCAATTATATTTTCTTGCAATTCAAGACCAATATTTTAACATTAAGACATTGGATTCCATTTGTTATCACTGTAAGACTGTATGTCACTGTTGTTTCAATTAGATTTGCATAATTTTTCTTACTACAGTCATACTGTAGAATTCTGTTCACTGAGTGAGGTTAATGCATCATAGATATAAGTCACAAATGCAGTTTTTTAATATATATAAAAATGGTCCAAGTTGAATATCTTGACACTGTTAAACTGATTTTGTGCAGGCTATTCTGTTTTGCATTAGTTCAAGTGAAGTTCTAAGAGACTTACAAAAAATATGTAATTAAAGAATTGTTAAAAACTAAAGTTGTAGTTTTACTGATTGTACAGTTATAAGACTGAAATGTGCATCCTTGCTATGCAGATGAGAGTATATAAGATCCCCTCAAATTGTAGTATAAGAACCAAGAGGCCTGGGTATGACCTGGGCTGTGTGGGTGTTAACCCCCCCCCCCCCCAAAAAAAAAAAAAAAAACACCATTTAGGTAGTCCTGGTAAGACCTCTCACTGGGTAATTATTATTATAATAAAAAAGAAGCGCTAAGCCACAAGGACTATACAGCGCTGCAAGACAGGAAGGAAGCGAGGGCATCAGGTGGCAAAAGGGAGATGGATGAGTAATAGGTTACGGAGAACAGCGGGGCAGTGGATGGTGAAAGGGTAAAGGGCAGCAAGAGATTGAGCTAGAAAGGGCTGAGGGGAGTGCGAAAAGTATCATCAGAGTTTGTGGAGTAAATCAGTCGTTGTCAAGAAGTCAATGAGAGAGTCAGGATTAAAGGAGGGTCCATCAGCAAGAAGGGAAGGTAAAGAGAGAGTAGTAGAGTGGAGACGACGTTGGAGGTAAATTCTGCGTGCTCGTTGATAGAGAGGGCAGTCTAACAGAATGTGGCTAATCGATACTGGAACTTGACACTGCTCACAGAAAGGAACAGGGTGCCTCTCCATGAGATACCCATGAGTAAGACGAGTGTGGCCAATGCGAAGGCGGGAGAGAGTGGTCTCCCAACCTCGGCACTGATGACAAGAAGACGGCCAGTAACCTATGCTTGGTTTAATAGAATGAAGTTTGTTACCGAGCAGAGTTGACCATCGTTGTTGCCAACAGGTGTGAAGGTGGGTAGCTATTACAACAAAATAGTCCAGAAATGGAACACCTCTATATGAAATTGGTAGGTCATGTACTGCTGACCGCGCAGCAGTGTCTGCCTTTTCATTGCCCTGTACGTCGACATGACCAGGGACCCAACAAAAACAATATCTTTATGCTTGGTAGAGATATGGCGTAGCCAAAGTTGGATACGGAGAACTAGGGGGCGAGTTGTATCAAATTTTCACACAGCCTGTAGAGCACTAAGGGAGTCTGAGACTACCACGAATGATGACACAGGCATAGATGCGATACGAATAAGTGCTGCAAGAATGGCATACAATTCAGCAGTAAAAATGCTAGCCGAAGATAGTAAATGCCCTCGCACGACGCTGTCCGGAAACACAGCTGCGAATCCGACGCCGTCTGAAGACTTAGAGCCATCTGTGTACA